ATTATCCTTCATCTCTTACTGGTAATTGCCGCCCATAACTAACTAGTAACTAATCGATAACATTAGCTGTGCACGCTGGTCATTTGGGCGGAGTAGACTCAGATAGCGCATTCCTCGTTAATGCTCGTTTTCGTTTCGTTCCGAAACGAAGAAGGAGGAGAGCAATGCGGAAGGCAATATGGCAAAACTGACCCGCCCATACGATTAGCGTGGACTTCGCCTTTGCATGAATGCAGCACAAATGTTGTTATTCACTTGTAGTTTATGCTCGACCGAGAGTGATCCAGGTCAGCTGCTCGAATATAGATGGTGGCGACGTCACTCACCTCTACGCCATACGATTTCAGAAACTTTATTCAGGTATTGGACGACCCCAATGACAACTATCTGTACATGGTGTTTGAATTTGTCGAACGTGGCAGCATCTTGGACGTTCCCACGGACAAACCGTTGGACGAGGACAGCGCATGGAAATACTTCAGGGACACATTACGGGGATTAGAATATCGTGAGTGAATGTGAATTTCCATTTACATTTTTCTGGATTATCTTGTACTTTATATCTTTTTTCCATACTTCATTCATTTATTACAACATTTTTAGTATTTCATAATATTTTCATCAGACTACCATGCACTATCATATTTTGTACATTTTGGAGCGTTGTTCGGCTATGGGGGGGAGGGGAGTTGAGGCATTTTGCTATTTCTCTATTTCTATTGCTAATTCATGTTAACTAATAGGTACCTTATTTCCTCGAGACTTGTAAACTCTCGGAATTTGCGAAATGGTACAAGGGGCCTTCTAGCTACAGGATTCACAGGTCTTCACAAGGTGGCTTGTACAAACTCAGTCCCAATTGATGCCCGTACCAGGCCGAATTTCTTCCATCTTGTTATATATATTAGGTTGTCCGGAAAGTTCTCAGCGTTTTGGGTGTTTCACTTTAAACGATCGTAACTTTTTTAATACTCATCGGATTTAATCGAAATAGGCACCATTCGAATCAGCACACTTTTGCCAATGTGACAGCAGTCGAGAAATCCCACCAAAGTTAAAAACCGGGTGGTCGAAAATTCACAAAGTCCACGAAGGCTTTTTTGCCTGG